AGTCCCGGGATCGAGTCCCGCATCGGGCTCCCTGCTCGGCGGGGAGTCTGCTTCTCCCTCTCCCGCTCCCCCCTCTTGTGCTCTCTCCCTCTCTCAAATAAATAAATAAAATCTTTAAAAAAAAAAAGAATAACTGCTCTTATAGAAGACTAAATGCTCTAATAACTGCTTCCGCGGTCCCTGCTCTCCTGTTACAGAATATTTGAAGTATTACTTTCTCCAGCACATTGCAACTGGCTGCCTCAGCAGGACCCAGGGAGGTTTCAATGCGGCTTTAATAATCCATGCTGGCCCCGCCCCGGGCTAAACCTATTTACAAACAGCCACGAACAATCAAGGAGACGCGCAGTGTGAATACAATGTGCTGCTGCCGTGGTTTAGAATTTTATTTACAAAGAATCACGTGCTTGTATTATTACAACATAAAACATCACAAATAGAAAAGTAAAAAGCGAAACGTAGTCCACAAAAGCGTTCACCTGGTTGACCCAAGACAGAGATGCAGAGTATTCATGAAGATGAGAAATACACAGCTGTCTTGTTTGACTCGATTAGAACAAACCATCCGTCAGCAAGAGATTGCAAACATTCAGGAAAATGGATATTATATATATTTCAACAGGAGGAATTCACGAGAAAGAACGATTAGTAATACAAACCAACCCCCGGGTCACTGAGTGAGAAGGAACCGCCATGCGACCAACAGCAAGCAAAGGTCAGAGGTCGTGAGAGGCTCGGAAAAGGGGCTTTTTCCCCCACTGCCCTGCAGCAGAATCACAGCCTCCAATGATCACTTTTGTGACTATGCAACTGGGCTCATATTACTAGCTGCAACATCACAAAAATGACACTGGCCACCGCTCGTAGCTGGCAAAGTAAGGGTCTGTCCGTTTCTACAGGGATCAGCGTTGTGAGTGCCGTTGCCCACAGCAAGAAGGGAGAGACTCAGAGACAGAGAGAGAGTTTTTAAAAGCAAAGCCCTCACATGTGATGCTAATTATCTCTTGGTTTTTGCAGCTTCTCTTTAGAGTGGAAATGTGCTCCCTCTGGGCTCCAGAAGTCTGTAATTACACGTCTCCGTGCCCGACGCACCCTGGCCAGAGTGGGGGAAGGCTGGGCAAGTGTTCGGGGTCCGGGTCGGGGTTGGGGTGGGGGGAGGGGGAGACCTGTGCGTAAGGCGACCACTGTCTTCGGAAGCCGAAGCCTCTTCCCAATTGCTGAACTTTGGGTGGCTCTTTTACCCAGAAAACCCCAAAGCGGCAGTCCGTGCCCGAGAGTGATGCTCCCGAGAACGCGATCGCTCGTGCCCACCGTCCAGTGAGCGCACGACAGGTGGCTGCCAGGTCTGGAAAACTGGGCGGTGCCGAGTCAGGCAAGCCAGCAAAGCTTTTGATTCTGATGGACTTGCAAATTTCAACTGAACAAAAACCTCTGGAGCCTTATCTCCTAAGCCTCTGGGGAAAGGGAACTTTGGGAGTCCGTGTTTCTTCAGGACAGGTTGTAAGCACAGACGGCTGGTTGTGTATTGTTCAGTTCCATATATGGATATGGATTTCGACGTACGCCCATATGCATATATGCACAAACCCACTGGATGAGCGTAAAGACGGGGGTTAGGACGATCTGCTACCTGTGTAGCCACATCCATTTTGCCAGTAACGGCTGTTTCTCGAAGACTCTATCTCAGGAAATGCGCCCTAGGTCAGATTTTTAGATAGCCTGTCTTTAGGCATAAATTTGTATTAAGGAAAGGTATCTGACAGCCAGGACGTGGGGGTGGATTGGGAGGGAACTGTGTGTAGTCAGTGCTTTGCGGTGCGTTCAGGACTCGATGCATCATGTGCGCTCGGCCTCTCTGGGCGAGGTCAGCAAACGTGCGCCATGGCTGAGATGCCATGTGCCCGTCTCTCCGGGAGCTCTTTCACACGCTATTTGATCCAAAGAACTATTCAAACAAAAATTCTGTTTTGCTTTTCAAAGTAGACTAAAAGGCAAGAGAAATAGTATCACAATAACCTTGAGAATGTCTAACACACAAATTAAAGAAATGCAGAGATCAGCCTGAAACCCCACTGTCTCGAGTTACATAGCCAGAGACTCAAGGATGGTAACTGTTCAGATACAAATCACTCTGTGATTGGGTACAATGCTGGATTAAGGTGCATTTTATTTCTTAGTTCGTTGTTTTGGATCTCTGTCTGCTTTTGTGATCAGGCAGGTTTCCAATCCGTTAAACGTTAAGAGGGGCTCTACGGAACGGAGAGCTCAGTTATCATGCTGCTCAACGCCTGCCTCGCTTGGTGGCTGCTCATTCTTCACCACCATGCAACAGCCAGTGCTGACCACCGTTATCACCGAATCCAATGGACAATCCAAGCTTCCATCTTAAATTTCCCCCTTTTTTGCCTTGTCAATATCTTCCTGAAAGATGGAGTCCAGCATTCATCTCAACAGTTCAATAAACACACTTTAAAACAAGACAGCCCCCTGGGCGACTGGCTGACCGGAGCGTGAACAAAGACTGGACGTTTCCAGACTGTCAGTTTCAAAACTGCACTAGACTACACAGTCATGTGCTGCTTCCATGCAGGCTCTCCCCCAAGGTCTAAGGTCACCCGGGCTGGAATCTGGCCCCACACTTGTTACATCTCATTATCCTGTCCAACCAGATAGTATCCAAACTAAAAATCTGCCTTTTCCTCATCCATATTCCGTGAAGCATGAACTTCAGGACTCTACCACTTGGAGAATCTTATCAGAAATAATGACCGCATTTCCACAATTCTAAGGCATCTATGTCCCCCCCCCTTTTTAACTCCTCTAAAACCAGAAAACATCTTTCAGTTAATATGTACCTTTAACATAATCTCCTTCCCCTCCCCTCTCCTATATATAATCATAAATACAGTTGACCCTGGAACAACATGGCTCTGAGCTGCGCTGGTCCACTTACACCTGAGTTTTTTTTTTTTTGATAAATACAGGATGACACTGAAAATGTATTTTCTCTTCCTTGTGATTTTCTTCATAACATTTTCTTTTCTCCAGCGTACTGTTATTGTAAGACTACAGCGTATAATACACACACCATACAAGCTATGTGTTAATTGACTTCTTATGTTACCGGTAAGGCTTCCAGTCAACAGGAGGTTATTAGAAGTTACGTTTCGGGGGAGTCAAAAGTTAAACGTGTATTTTCAACTGTGTGGGGGTTGGTGCCTCAACGCTGTGTTGTTCAAGGATCAACTGTATATTTATAATCTATAAATATAAAACGGATGGCGTGTCTTACAGCAAATGGCCTCTTAGACACAGGAAATCTGGTATCAGACCGCGTTCCCCCCTCTCTTATGCCCACACTCTAACACGTTACCCTGCTTAGAGCGCTGTTTGTCATACCTGCGGAAATCCAGGAGGGACCTCGCGGAGGAAGGCACTCCCTGGTCATACCAGCTCAGGAAGTGGAACTGAGTCACCGTGCGCGTCTCGTTGGTTTGAAGGTTCTTCAGATAGAAGCTCCTCACGAGGAAATCCTCACACCAGATGTGCTCGGAGACTAGGTTTACCTAGACAGGAGGACAGGGTGCATTGGGACGTAAAGCATTGTCTGAGCAGGGAGCCACTCTGAGCAGCGAAGGGCGGATACTACGAGGACCGCATGTGGGTCGACAGCGGGCTTAATGGCTCTTCCCACCTTCTCAGTTTTAACGGGGTTTATGCAAAAGATAACTGTGGGTTTTTAATGTCACCTAGGTGCATTAGTCAGATTATGAGAAAATTGTGTTACAACCCAAAATGATTCCAGCTTTCATCTTTTGTATTTCTAAGCTATCTAAACCTTCAAGAAAAACTATACCTTGGAACAAGAACACCTGTGGGTTCCACTATAACTTAGGTTTCACTGCAGGTGGTTATCAGCTAGAGGTGGAGAGGAGACCAAAGGAGTCACGCAGATAGCGTGACTCGGCACTTCTCGGGGCCAAGCCCCTTCTCAGCAGCCCAAAAGCCACGACTCTGTGATCTAGGATTCATCTTCACGCTTCCACCATGGGACTTTGGCCTTCTGACTAATTTTTAACGCAAAACAACAGATGCATGCTGGTACGTGTTGAACTGCCCAAGTTGGTGCAGTTCGTTGTCGATGTGGGTAGAGTCCAGCTAGAGAAAGAAGCTTGCCAGCAGGCGGCCCTCAAGGAAGGTCGAATCTACAGACCCACAGCCCTGAGCGCTGCGCAGGCAGGGCTCTTCCGACAACAGACCCAGGAAGGGTCTTTACTCGGGGCCTGGCTCAGTGGGCCTCCCTGCGAGGTAAATGTGTTTTGGTTCCTCCTGTCTGAATTTGGAATCCTAAGACTTTAAAAATGAAGACCACACTCTTTATGGCAGAGCCCGAGGTGCCACAGCATATGGTCTTTTGGAGGGTGTGGGCACCTACGGACTGCGGGGCCCTGGGGATGCCTGGGGAAGGGGCCGCCCGGGGAGGTGGGGGCGCTGCTGTTCCCCGCGGCCGCGGGTGGGTGGGCGGGCGCCTGGGGAGTACCTCGTAGACGTGGTAGAGGTTGGAGCCTTCGTCGGGCCAGTAGTGGTAACACTGTCGGATGCCGTTCTCCGAGAGGGGCGTCAGCATGACGATGACCACACAGCCACGCTCCCACACCATCTGCAGACAGAGGAAGGCCCGCGGCCACCGCGTGACTGGGAGGTCCGCGCGACACGCGCAGTGGCCGCGCTCAGCGACGCGGGCCCAAGGTGCTCGCGCACGGACCAGCATCCCCCTTTCATCGGACCCTCCTCCTCCATAGCCGGCTTCCCATCTCAGAACACGCCCCGTAGCCTCCATGGTCCATGCAATACTAAAAACAGCCACCAGGGGTTCATTCCACACCTCCCAGAACCTCTTAAGACCCGCGTTCAGCGGTCTGGCTTCCCAACTTTGGATCTGTGAAGGGAGCTTTCTACCACGCGGCACAAACCCACAACATGGGCCCGCGGGCGGGCGGGCGGGCGCCGCTCTGCGTATGTCCGCCCCTCCGCATGGTGCAGACTGAAACTGGTCGACACCATCATTTTTTGGTCGTTGTCATTATTCTGCAGGACTAGAAAACCATTTTGCTTTGTGAAGCTGCCGTCCTGTCAGAAGCAGGCTCTCCTTCATGTACCTGCACGGAATATGACCATGCTCCTCAATGAAAACAGAACCGAGTTAATAATTCATAGCAGCCACATTATGAAGCGTCTCCCAGACACAGCGAACCGATGGCCGCACATCCAAATGCGGAGAGGGGGCAGACCCCAAGGCCCTCCACGGGACTCCCTCTCAAACGCAACTCCCAACTTCGTGGCTGTGGGCCTGTGTATTAACACTGGAGCATAATCACGAAAACCATGAATTCTATGGGGCACGCTGAGGTGGCACTTGCAGACGTGTATTAGCATATTAAATTATAGAGTGAAGAGGAGTCTGCTTTCCCCACAGTGGGTTACGGTGACTTGACAGAAATATTTATAAGCAACTGCATTTAGATGTAAATTTCATATCTAAGAGCTCTTCTATTTCTTTTAAATACAGACATAACAATCCAATTAGAATCTTGTCATTTTAAAAAAAATCCACATAGCTCAAATATAAAATGCGTTTCCTTCATAGTTCATGTTATTAAATAGCCCCCTTTAAGTGATATTTTAAAAAGAGCCGTGTCCACGGTATTTTCCTCTTTGAATACTGATTTATATTCCCGCGTGATGGGAATAGTCCATGCTTTTACGGCACTGTGCTGTGTCTCATTAACATTGGAATCTCATGGAAACTGCTGGTGTTTATGAAAAAGCCCACAGATAAATATGAATTATGCCCGAACCTATATGCCTTCATTTTCCTTAGCGCAAAGCCAACCACAAGATGAGAATTCAAAGCATGTGTCTCACTTGCAGCTTTCAGGCTTTGCAGCCTGCCCCACTAAATTGGTCCTTCCAGCACATAACAATTTAATGTGTCTTTAGAAGGTGGAGAAGCTCATTGAAGCCATTACGAAAATGAGAAGAAACAGAGATTTTATGAGTGTAATAAAAATACAATGATCTAGACCATAAACTAATCATCTCACGCTCTTCTTGTGCCACCCAAGTGTGACATTAGGAAGCCCCTCATTTAAAGAGGAGTCCGCCCAGCCGGGCAGTCCCGTTCATTGGTCCGCGCACGCCGTGCTTCCATTCAGGAGCCCGCCCGGCTCTCTGAAGACTTGGTTAAGATTAAATCCAAATGAAACTTAATTTAAACAAACAATCCCAAAGGCACTCTTGGGGATCATATTTCTCTTTAGGTCACCGTGTCTAAGAGCAGAGAGGGGAATTTAGTAAATCACACAAACAGGCGGCCCCCTCGGGGCCTGTGTGTCCGCTTGCTGGGCGGCGGGAGTCGGTGCGCAGGGCAACGGAGCTGTTCCTGCGTCGCTTCCCACCTGCAGCCGCTGCGTCACCCGCTGACCCTCACGACAGGCTGAGAAGAGTTAATGCGGGTTCTGGTGGGATCCAGGACGCCAGCCAAAGTTCAGGTTAGAAACAGGGACAAGTTTCTCTGTTTCCCCTTCCGTGGCTCCCCCGGCCCTCGGGCAGTACCCAGCTGCAGGAGGGGCTGTTTGTGCGGCTAGTCTTCTGATCTTTCTCTTCTGGGAAGCAGCTATCCACCCGGAGGCCCCACTGAATCTCAGAAGTGAGGCAGTTTGCTGAGTGAGTGAGCTAAATGTGTGAATGCCAGAAATGGTGATTTCTAGCACTTTTCTGTTCAGCATCAGAGACCATGACACTCCCGGTCACCTCCTGGTTTACCGGGCACCTTTACGGAGCACCCAGCACGTCAGGAGATTCAGAGGTAACTAGAAGTGCCCGCTGAAAGTGGGGTGGGGACTGCGCCCCGCAGTGCGCCACAGGGGTCTGCAGTCCTGCCCACAGCTCCTTTCGCGCCCAATGGGTGACTTTTCCCAAACAGGAAGCAGCTGCTTCCATCCCTGGATCCAGACGAGGCCACCAACATGGATGAAACATGAGCCTTCAGGGCTGGATCCTGAGTATAAACCAGGGCTGCGCTTGGAGGAGCTTTCTGGGGAGCTTCTCAGATGCTCCGGCGCCCCCCCTCGGGAGTCCCCCCCGAAGGCCCGGGACACCTCAACAGTACGGCTTCATGGCTAGGGATGGGAGCGATGGCGGCCTCTGGGGTTTATGGTCCCCGCCAACCTCTTCTTTGGCGACTGTGTGCTGCGGGAGTGGGAGGTATCTACTCGGTGTCCCATGTCACCACCTGCCGCCAGTCCTTGGGAGCCCGCCCCAGGCTGCGTCTCCCGGGGACGCAGCGGAGACGCGGCGGAGATGCTCACGACGCCGTCACTGCCGATGGGGACCCGCGCGTGGCCTTGGGCAGCAAGCAGGCAGGTAACGGGACATCCCGTGGCTCAGAAGGTCGCTCTGGTGACAGGAAGCACACACCTGGGCTGCTGCGTGATCCACCCTGAGGCAGTTTACTGACGGTTGATAAGAAAAGCCAGATTGCTCTTTGTTACCGGTTGAGTTTTGTCCCCCGAAGAAGATATACTGAAGCCCCAACTGCTGGGACCTGCGAATGTGACCTTACTTGGAAATAAGGTCTCTGCTGATGTCGTTGAGTTATAGAGGGGGTCATACTGAATTAGAGTGGGCCTCATAAGAAGAGGGAAACCCTGGGTGAAGACAGACCCTGGCGGGAAGGCTCGGGACTGCGTGGGCCCCCCAGATGCTGAAAGGAGGAAGCCCCTCCGGCACCTTGATTCCAGATGTCCGGCCTCCAGAACTCTCAGAGAAGCCCCCCAGCAGTAGAAAATCCAAGCTTAGCCTGTGACTCCCCAAAAGCTTGACTACGAGCCTACAGTCGACTAGAAGCCTTACCAGTAACGCAAGCAGCCGATTAACACATGGTTTATAGGTTATATGTACATTATTTGCTATATTCTTATAATAAGGTAAGCTGGAGGAAAGAAAACGTTATCAATAAAATCATAAGGAAGAGAAACTACGTTTACAGCACTGTCCTGGAAAACATCTGCGTCCAGAGGCCCCGGGCAGCTCAGACCCGCGTTCGAGGCTCAGTGGCATGCTCACTGCCAGTGGCCTCCTTGGGGCTGAGCGTGCCCCTCCAAGGGGCCTATACAAACCCAATTAAAGCAGATGGAAGGAAACCACAGTCGTCTCCTCATCCAAAGTCTTTTTCGAAAACTAGCTCTTCAGCAAGCCAAACTCTTTCAAAGCCCAGCTAAGACGTGATTAAAGGAAAGCTGACCCATCCAAAATCGCAAAGGCCCAGGTCATGTTCTCCGCCAGGCACCCGGTTCCTCCAGGCATAAAACTTCTTCCTGTACTTAGATCTCTTGTGATGTGTCCCTTTCTACCTTGCATCATCCTTATCATGTGCTCACATCTTTCTCCCGCTAGCCTGGCATCTCCGAGAAGACCGGATGCTGGTCTGGGCACCGTTTCTACCCTCCACGGCAGCCAGGACCGTGACTTACTAGAGAGGATGCTCGGCTGAAAACAATACATATGTTTAAAAGAGACCCTTTGACTATTTCTGTAAAAAGAGATAAAATGCTGTCAAAGGCATGCCTGGAAGAAGTTCTCCCAGGACCTGCTTAACGTTGAGAAAAGCTTTTTTTATTTTTCATTCTTTTAGCACATGAACTGTTTGCCTGGGTGATGGAGCTGCGGGTGCGTGAGGCAGACAGCTCTTCTCCACGGGCTCCACATCCCCCCGCAATCCTGACTGTACAGTGCCTTTCTGTGGTGGACTTATTTTTACAGGCTGAACAGAGATCATCTGAAGTCTGGCCATGAGGAGGCTGACTCACATTTCAAAATAATAAGGAGTCAATTAATGAGGTTTAGTAATGCTTGCGTTTTCCTCCTTACATGCTTGCTGACGTCAGTCAGCTCTAATGTGGTCTGAAATAGACCCAAAAGGGAAAAACAGGTGTCTGGAACACCTCTGCAGTCGAGGCCCCGCCCTAGGCCTCCCCGAACACCGCGTCCGCGCAGGGCAGCAAGCCCCCTGCGGTCACGCGCTCCGCGTCAAGCCACCACGGACGGGGGCGGGGGGAGACTTCTGCTACGTCTTCCGTGCACAACTCATAACGCGCCCACCTGACCTGCTGCTCAGCACACAAACGGGTCAGCGCGCCTCCCTCGGCCACGAAGCCGCCCTCCTCGCTGTGTGATGTTGAGTGCCGGACACCCTGCGCCCAAACCAGTCCCACGGCTGCCATCCCACAGCCCGTACACGGCAGCCTCGACTCTGAAATCCCTTCCCACCGGGAGTAAAGGAGAAAGCATCTAAATAAGAAGTCCTTGCCGTGTCCGTGGAATCGGGTTCGTTTTCTTGGAAAGATGGCGCGGCTGGCCTAGCTGTCCAGCAGACTGGAGGTGGCTGGGTGCAAACACTGGTCCCTTAGGGTTCCCAAAGCCAGGCCACTGCTTCCAGACCCGACTTCTTCATCCAGCCCCTGTGCAGTCGCTACGGGCTATTCATCACAGGTGTTTGGATGTCTGGGAAGTTACCTGGACCCGAGGGAGCGTCGCCACTTAGAACCATTGGCAGTCCCTCAGCCTTGCTCACCGTTCAGGTTAAATATGTGTGTCATC